TGGGATATTCCATGGAGTGTGGGATATCCGATGGAATGCAGGACATCCAATGGAGTGTGGGATATTCTATGGAGCGTGGGATATTCCATGGAGTGTGGGATATTCCATGGAGTGCAGGGTATCCGATGGAATGTGGGATATTCCATGGAGCGTGGGATATCCAATGGAATGTGGGATATCCAGTGGAGTGTGGGATATTCCATGGAGTGCAGGATATCCGATGGAATGTGGGATATTCCATGGAGTGAGGGATATCCAATGGAATGCGGGATGTCTGATGGAGTGCAGGATGTGTTATGGAGTTTGGGATATTCCCTGATGGAATGTGGGATATCCAATGGAGTGTGGGATATTCCATGGAGTGTGGGATATCTGATGGAATACAGGATGCCCAATGGAGTGAGGGATATTGCCTGATGGAATGCAGGATATCCAATGGAGTGTGGGATATTCCATGGAATGTGGGATATCCAATGGAATGCGGGATATCCAATGGAGTGTGGGATATTCCATGGAGTGTGAGATATTCAATGGAATGCAGGATATCTGATGGAGTGAGGGATATTCCCCAATGGAATGCGGGATATCCAATGGATTGCGGGATATCCAATGGAATGCGGGATGTGTGATGGAATGCAGGATATCCGATGGAGTGCGGGATATCCAACGGAGTGAGGGATATTCCCTGATGGAATGCAGGATATCCAATGGAGTGTGGGATATCCAACGGAGTGAGGGATATTCCCTGATGGAATGTGGGATATCCAATGGAGTGCGGGATATCCAACGGATGTCCATATGCCTCCCACCCGAGGATCCGCATCCTGCCCCCACGGAGCTGCTCCACATCCAGAAGATCCTTCAGGAGAGGCTTTTGGGACCGGAAAGGCTTTTCCAGCCAGCCTAGGGACTGAGGTCGGATTCCAGAGCCGGAGCAGGATCTGGAATGTTCCCAGCTCGCTCAGCTTCTCCCCCGGGCGCCCTTTGCTGGCAGAGCCCAACTCCCGGGAAGAGCAGGGAACGATGATCCCTGATTGAGGCTGCTGCCTCGGACCCAGAAACTTGGAAAACTCTTCCCAGGAGCTCCAGGCACCAGGAGCAAGACCTGGAATGTTCCATGTCCATCTTTTCCATCCCCAGTTCCCACCACACCTGGAATGTTCCATGTCCATCTTTTCCATCCCCAGTTCCCACCACACCTGGAATGTTCCTTGTCCATCTTTTCCATCCCCAGTTCCCACCACACCTGGAATGTTCCATGTCCATCTTTTCCATCCCCAGTTCCCACCACACCTGGAATGTTCCATCTTTTACATTCCCAGTTCCCACCACACCTGGAACGTTCCATGTCCATCATTTCCATCCCCAGTTCCCACCATACCTGGAACGTTCCTTGTCCATCTTTTCCATCCCCAGTTCCCACCACACCTGGAATGTTCCTTGTCCATCTTTTCCATCCCCAGTTCCCACCACACCTGGAATGTTCCTTGTCCATCTTTTCCATTCCCAGTTCCCACCACACCTGGAATGTTCCTTGTCCATCTTTTCCATTCCCAGTTCCCACCACACCTGGAATGTTCCATCTTTTACATTCCCAGTTCCCACCACACCTGGAATGTTCCTTGTCCATCTTTTCCATCCCCAGTTCCCACCACACCTGGAACGTTCCTTGT